CTGCTCGACATCTCGTATGCCGTCTTCTGCTTAAAAAAAAAAAAAAAAATCATACACGAAGAAACCAAAAGGTCATTAAAAAGACAGGAAAGGAAGAAAAGACCAAAATAGATGTCAGACAAGACTCTGAAACTTTTTTTTTGTTTGTTTTAATTGTGATTTCGGTGAAAGTTTACAGAGCAAAACCACTTTCCATACAGCAGTTCACATACACTTTGTCTCATTACATTGACAACAATTTACTCCAGTGGAACATGAAACTTGTTCTTGAACAGAGAGTAGCTAAAGCAAATGGAAGAAATGACAAGATAAAAGAGGTGAACAGAAGATTTCAAAGGGTGGCTTAAGTAGACAAAGTAAAATGTAAAGATGGCACACTACTAAGCAGTGTTTCATTCTGTTGTACACAGGGTTGCTATGAGTTGGAGCCAACTTGATGGCACCTAATAACAACTGAGTTCCAAATACAAAAAAGAAAAAAACAAAAACATTATTTTATCTGGTGATAAAGTCTTTCTGGCAAAAAAAGAAAAACAGCACTCAGCCTCATATCCTGTTGCTCTTCTTCAGAAAACATACAGAACACAACTACTCCTCACCTCCTTCCCATCTACCTTCTAGATACAAGCTGGCATTATCTCTTACATGGATAATTATAATAACCTTCTAATTCATCTTCTTGTTTTTGTCTCTGCTCAATCCCTCCAAACTCTATGTTCAAAACCATAGCCATTCCTCTACTCAGACTCGCCAGAGGATTCCCAATACTGTGGAAAACAAACAAACACAAAACACAAAATTTCAGTAATTAACAAGACACCACTACATTACTGTACCCTATTCCTCCCCGTTCACTTCACTTAGACATACTGAAATCATCCCAGGCAATTTCTGCCTCAAAACTTTCATACCTGTTTCCTCTGCCTGAAAGGAATTATATTCACTTAATTGCCATCTACTCGGTTACCATCCTACAAAAATAGCACTCCAGTCACTACTTTCCTATCTCAACACTGCTTATTCCCCATATATGTCTTTATTTTTTACTTCACAGCCTTTATTATACCTTCTGACATACTTGTTTGACTCTCTCCTACTCACCTTTTATTAGATTGTAGCCTCAATGAGAGCAACAATTTTACCTGATTTGTATATTTAGCAAAGACCTCTGTCTTACAGGGGTACTTAATATTTATTAAATAATTAAATACTCCTCATTCATAAACCTTCCTTTCAACCCTTAATCTTTCCTTTCTGAAAGGCTTAGCTCCCTTTTCACTTCAATCTCCCACTCCTAGAGTACAACTTAGACCTCATTATCCATTCTGAAATAATAAATTTAGACATTCTATTCTGACCACAATTTCGTGTTCCTTTTCTTCCGTCTTTCAGTCATTTCCATGTACACATTGTTGGATCCCTATACTCTCTCCCTCTCAGTCTCGCCTTTCTCCATTCCCTATCCAACTGAGTTAACTTCCATAGTCAAATGCTCAAGTCATGCTATCATCAATAGATATTGCCTCTCTTAGCAAAACTTCCGTAAATTCAACTGCTTCTCTTTTCTGAGCCTATGTGGGCGGGTGGGTGGGGGGGCAACTAAGCCCTCATGTAGGAAAATGAATCACATAACCTTGCAGATCAACCTGAAGGGTCCCCAGTGTCCAAACTCCACTAGACCCTCCATGCTGCCCAGCAGTCCTCATGGTGTATGTGCTGGGGGGGGTGGGTAGTGTTTTATTCACTCCTCTGCCCTCTTCCTCATGCAACTATATCAAACCTTTTCTAATCTCCCCAAACCTCAAGTTTCTCCACTTTCCCTCACATCTTTCAAAAGCATTTTGTACTTAGTGGTAGAAACTTCTCCAGATTTCACCAAATTTCTCCCTCATGTTGCCTCTTGATAAAACCAACAAGCCATCCCTCCTGCTATGGAAGGCTAATCACATATCTCATGTGATATCATTCATGCCATGGCTTCTATCATCTATATGAAGCCTTACCAAAATCTTTAGACCAGATTTCCCTCAGGAGGTTCCAACAACCTCTACTCAGATTTTCAACAGCAACCTATTCAACTTGACTAAACTGAACCCCTATCTTCAGCACCAGTTGCCACTGAGTCAATACTAACTCATGGTGACACCATGGGTGTCAGAGTAGAACTGTGTTCCATAGTTGAATTTTCTAAAGTAGATAACCAGGCCTTTCTTCTGAGGCACCTCTGGATAGAGCTGAACAACCAACCTTTGGGTTAGCAGTTAAGTGCTTAACCATTTGTGCCATCAGGGATGCCAACTCCTTCCAATCTTTTCATGTTCTCTATTTTGAGCAGAAAATGACATTTAATTGGATTATATTTAAATGGATTACATCTAATTTCTCAAGTCAGAAACTTGGGAATCATCCTTGATTCCTGCTTATTCCCCATACCATGAATTTAATCAATCACTAAGTCTTTTGGGTTCCACCTCCAAAATATTCCTGAATGGATCTAGGTACAGGGAGGGACACAGGCCCCAACCCAAGAGGCAGGAAGCAAGGAAAAGCCAGATATGACAGACAGAGTGGCAGGATCCAGGTAAGAGGACAGACGCAGGCCCTACCCCAAGAGGCAGAAAGCAGGGAAAAGCTGGGGACAACAAAGCGGCAGGATCCAGGTAAGGCGAGGGCGGAGAAGTTTCCAACAGCTAAGGGAGACAAACTTGTCTGTCAGTTTATCATACTATGGTGGCTTGCACGTTGCTGTGAGGCTTCAGGCTGTGCCACCAGTACCCTGTTCCAAACACCAGCAGGGTTGTATTTGGTGCACAGGTCTCAATGCAGCTTACAGACTGAGACAGACTAGGAAGAAGGAAGAGGCCATCCAATTCTCACAGAATTGGCCAGGGAAGACCTTTTGAATAGCAGAGAAACACTGTCTGATACATTACTGGCCAACTTTATGAATAGCCCAGAAACACTACCCAATAGTGCAGAAAGATGGGCCCCTAAGGTCAGAAGGCTCTCAAAATATGACTGGAAAAGAGCTGCCTCATCAGAGTAGAACTAACCTTAATGATATGGATAAAGTAAAGCTTTCAGGACCTCCGTTGCTGATGTGGCATGACTTAAATTGAGGAGAAACAGCTGCAAACATCCATTAATAATCAGAACACAGAATGTACGAAGTATGAATCTAGAAAATTAGAATTTGTCAAAAATGAAATTGAATGCATAAAGATTGATATCCTAGGCATTAGTGAGCTGAAATGGACCACTTTTGGCCATTTTGAATCAGATAACCATATGATCTACTATGCCAGGAATGACAATGTAAAGAGTAACAGTGTGCCATTCATCATCACAAAGGATGTTTCAAGATCTGTCCTGAAGTACAATGCTGTCAGTGATAGGATAATAGCCATATGCCTACAAGTAAGACCAGTTAACACTACTATTATTCAAATTCATGCATCAATTTTGGTGCATTGAACCAACAAAGACAAAGATGAGGAAACTGAAGACTTTTATCAACTTCTACAGTCTGAAATTGACCCAACATGCAATCAAGATGTGTTAATTATCAATGGTGACAGGAATGCAAAAGTTGGAAACAAGAATCATCAGTAGTTGGAAAGTTTGGTCTTGGTGACAGAAATAATGCTAGAGATTGCATGATAGAATTTTGCAAGATCTGCATGTGACTTATTCATTGCAAATACCTTTTTTCAACAACAAAAATGGTGGCTATACACATGGACTTCCTCAGATGGAGTACACAGGAACCAGACTGACTACATCTGTGACAAGAGGCAATGGAAAAGCTCAATATCTTCAGCCAAAACAAAGTCAGGAGCTGATTGTGGAACAGACCATCAACTGCTCACATGCAAGTTCAACTTGAAGTTGAAGACAAGCAAAACAAGTCTACAAGACTAAGAAGAGGGCAAAAAAACAAGGGAATTTGGAAGCAATCAGCCCTAGGATATGATGGACCTCGAGACTAGAAGAACTAGATGATACCCAGCTACTAATGCCAACCACTCAGGAAAGGATCAAAACTGGAGATCTTGGATAGAGTAGGAGGAAAAACATGGAATGAAATCCAAAAACATAATAATGACCAGAATTACTGGTCAGATGGAGTCTGGTGAGACCCCCAATACTATGACCTTGAGAAATATTTTGGGCCTGGAATAAAACTCACTCCCAGGGGCTGTCTCTCAGCCCATTAGTAAACAAGATGTACACGCAGACCACTCAACCCAGGGTGACGCACCCACATACTCTATGGAGATGCATCCCTTGGAGCAATTGACCATGGGGCACCAGAGGGGCAACATTCACAGGGAGGAAATGCAGGACACACAGGGGAAAAATAAAAAAGTCCACAAGAGCCAAGATATGACCTGGGATATATCCCTCCTGAATTCAGAGACCATCTAAAGAACAGATTTTGACACATTTAACACCAATGACCATAAACAAGAATGAGAACTGTGGGATGACATCAAGAACAACATCCATGAAGAAAGCAAGAGGTCACTAAAAAGACAAGAAAGGAAAAAAGAACAAAATGGATGTCAGAAGAGAATCTGAAACTTGCCCTTGAGCGGAGAGTAGCTAAAGCAAATGGAAGAAATGACAAGATAAAAGAGCTGAACAGAAGATTTCAAAAAGCAGTTCGAGCAGACAAAGCCAATTACTATAATGAAACATGCAAAGATGTGGAATTAGAAAACCAAAAGGTAAGAACACACTCACCATTTCTCAAGCTAAAAGAACTGAGGAAAAAATTTAAGCCTTGAGTTGCAATATTATAAGACTCTATGGGCAAGATATTGAATGATGCAAGAAGCATGAAAAGAAGACAGAAGGACTACACAGAGTCACTGTACCAAAAAGACCTGGTCAATCTTCATCCATTTCAAGAGGTGTAATATGATCAAGAACCAATGGCATTGAAGGAAGAAGTCGAAGCTGCACTGAAGGAATTTGCGAAGAACAAGGCTCCAAGAATTGACGGAATGTCCAGTGAGATGTTTCAACAAATGGATGCCCTGCTGGAGGCACTCACTCAGCTATGCCAAGAGATTTGGAAGACAGCTACCTGGCCAACTGACTGGAAGAGATCCATATTTGTACCCATTCAAACAAAAGGTGATCCCACAGAATGTGAGAATTATTGAACAACATCATTAGTATCACATGCATATAAAATCTTGCTGAAGATAATTCAAAAAGGGTTGTAGCAGTATATTGACAGGGAACTTGCAGAAATATAAGTTGGATTCGGAAGAGGACATGGAAGGAAGGATATTATTGCTGATGTCAGATGGATCTTGGCTCAAAGCAAAGAATATTAGAAAGATGTTTACTTGTGCTTTATAGACTATGCAAAAGCATTTGATTGTGTGGATCATAACAAATTATGGGTAACACTGAGAAGAAACGGAATTCCAGAACACTTAATTGTACCCATGAAGAACCTGTATATTGACCAGGAGGCTGTCGTTCAAACAGAACAAAGGGATACTGCGTGGTTCAAAATCAAGAAGGGAGTGTGTCAGAGTTGTGTCCTTTCACCACACTTATTCAATCTGTATGCTGAGCAAATAATCTGAGAAGCCAGACTATATGTAGAAGAACGTGGCATCAGGATTGGAGGAAGAATCATTAACAACCTGTGACATGCTGACAGCACAACTTTGCTTGCTGAAAGGTGAGGATGACTTGAAGTACTTACTGATGAAGATTGAAGAATACAGTCTGTAGTAAGGATTAC